CTATAATGATTAATCGATCCGTTGGATTGGTCAACAACCCTTCCTTGCTACCACAGGAGAATGATCGAGCCAATTTCAGTAGATGATGATGATAATGATGATACAAGTGCGTCAAAAACATCATCAAATGTACCGGTGGTTGTGTGCGACATTAGGTTTATCGTATTTAACGTGACAGAACATGTATTAGGAGCTGTGTGTTATCGAACAATGACATAATCCACAAAGTCACACTCTATTTGTGTCATCACAAAGCTACACATACACACGCAAAACGGTTTTTCTATCCCGCAGGCAGATGACGCATCAGCTGACTCACAACAAAAACTGCTACCAACAACCAGTCCTGTATCTTCTCCTTGTCCCCGGCCATTCAAAAAAGTGTAGGTTGGCCATCCGCATTGGAAAAATGCATGTAGTAATTTTATAGCACCATCGCCACCATATGCTATGAGAGGCGAATTGCGAGAAAATGTTTACTTGCAACTTAACATTTTTTCTCATTTTGCCCGGTCATAATTATTGTAGATGACTGTATCAGTGTAGGTTTGGAGGATTGACTTATCGCGTGACTATCCTCGATTGGATTTGATCAGCTCCTGCCCCCCCCCTCTTTCACGTGAACGTTTGACCGCTCTTGTGCCCTGCTCATAACAATCTGTATGTCTTGAAAATTATACCACCGAAAGTCATANCACCTTCACGCACAATCCTTAGTTCATCGATTCAACCATACACTCGGAAGCACTAGACTCAATTTTCGCTCTTATTATAGCTCATCGGTAGCGCATACCCACCGTCCCGTCTGGGATTTGAACTCCGGACCCATCGCATGGAAGGCGTGTGCGTTATCACTGCGCCAACCAGCTCATGCCTTGGCTGAGCCAAACTGCCAATTCATGTTTGTTCAGGTGTCGTCTTCAGTGATAGTCAGTCAGATCATGTGGCCCGACAGCAACGAAGGGAGACACACATGACAATCTGTTAACTCCAATTAAAATTCTCCCACCAAGTCAGGACTTCCATGCAGGTTACTGGCTGACTTCCCACATACCTACCGGGTTCGATTGATAATTCGCATTTAACTCACAAGTACTTGTGAGTAGTGGTGTGGAATAATTGATATTAGTTGATTTGATTGACTATCCTTCATATGATTTTATTACTTCCTCGGTCAGCGTAGCGAACGAACACATTCGAAAGGGATCTATGTTAGAACAGTGCTACCCCAATCCATCCTGGCCTCAGATCATCACACAATTTCTAAGGAGACTCATCAACAGTTGTCACCTCAATTCGCACATTTTCAAAACTAATTCATGGGTTTAAAAGTTTATGAAGTGAGTGACATTGTACCATGACATGAAATAAAAATCTATAGAAAAAATAGTGTGGAGAAAGAAGGGCAGCAAAAGAAACAAGGTGAATGTGTCTAGGTACGTGTGTATGTTTAGTTCCACAGAAAAAATATATATATAAACAGGAAAGTTGCGGATTGCAGTTTGTGGACCAGATATGTGGGCATCTCTCATCAGATGTATCCACATTTTGAACCGCTTTTAATCCATACCATTGTGTGATGAACAGTAGAAAAAATGAAGTCCATACTCATGAATTTCTACTGCCTAGCTTACGGTAATCGCTAACGTAAGCAATGGAACTCAGAGAGGTGAATCACAAAAAACCCTAATAAAGCAGATGAGCAGGACGACAGTGAAACTACCTAACATAAAAGTTGGATGACGACAAATAAGAGTTCTAACCTGAGAGCCTAAAAACATCCGAAAATTGTCAGTTCTACTGTTAAAATCTTCGACGCCATATCGCGTTGGTGTCTTACCAGTCTAGCTTGAGAGGGAGGGTGGATGGAGGGCAGATAACTTGCAATACTACGTGACCAAGCTGTCGAGACGAAAACGAAAAACGGTACACTTTAACGGATGCCAATATTCGACTTGACGATTCTCCAATCGACATCTTTGTGGCAGTCACAGAACAGCTGGCCACCGAAGCATCAAACGCATCACAATCGCTCAATTAACAACAACAACAAACAACACGAAATTCACAGTACAGAATCTGGCCTGGGTGAACTATTATTCCATAGAACATTCACTTACCGATCATTGAGGATCGTTCCATTGCACGTTGTTGAGCCACAAGCATTTCGAATTCGGCCAAAGCCTCCGCAGTTTCCGGATCTGTCACGCTCAAACCTGTATCTAGACCCGTTACGGCGTGTGAGGATTCCGCGTCAAAAGCCTGGGTTCGATGATGGGGCGAGCCCAGAGGGGCAGCGCAAGTAACGCAAAGGAATGCGCTTAGGTTTAAAATATACATTTGCCTGGAAATGGATTTTATTATCTCACTTCTCATTCGTATAAGAATAATGTAAGCGAGAGAACAGCACCGAAATTCGAAGAAAGTTGACCTATCCAAGTTGTTCCGATCACTATACACATATGTACATTGTTTCATGTAAAAAGAAAACAGTGGTTAGGAAATTTTACCGTGTTCTAAAACTGAAACGTTGTTAATCGCACCACTGACGATAATTCAAGGTCACTGCCATCGCAGTGGTTTTTCAATCATCAAATTCGCATTCCGGTTGACCAGAACGTACGGTGAAGCGAACGAAAAAAAAGAGAACTCCACACTAACACCGCCAAGCGCACAGACAGATATGTGGTCTTTGTTTATCCAACTCAAGTGTATACATTTTTTCCGCGCACACGAATTCGGCCGGGTAGATGTGTGAATGCAACGGTCGACATGTGCACGGAAAAACACCCGATGACCGGTGAGTCCTCTAGCAAACGGAGCAAATCCGGTGTGGTGAGCGTGAAGTGGTCTGTCCGAACGATGACAGATGTGTGGCAGGTTGATTTAAAATTTTTTTTAAAACCGATTTGGTCACACTGACGAGCTTCATTCCTGAGCTGCAACGATTCAGTCAGAACAAAAGTTATGATGCACCTCTGATAAGAACTACGGAAGCAAAAGCAATGATCCGGTGTGCCAATTAGTCACAACCTAATTCACACCAGGATGATGTGATTTGACTGATAAACGTGGAGATGTCCAACTGGCTTAAATTGCTCCTGATGGGCTTTGGTTCATAGGGTTTGAGGTTCCAACAATGTCACTGCTACCCGAATTTGGTGGCAGGCAGCTTCGCGGTCGTCCGGCTCAATGTTATACCTAACCTAGTGGAGCCTTACGTTGTTCGTCACTCCAAGTCCCGGAGCTTAGGTAGAGATGGTTTCCAAGAGTGAACGATAGATTCTCATGACTGTGGGGTTTATCCCTTCTGCTGTTTAACACACAATGAAAATGGGCTGAAGAAGTTCACAAAGCATCGCCCGTCCGCGTGGGACCACATTCGATTTTAAACTTCGAAACTTCGAATGGTGACAAGGAATTACATGATTTTTTATGCCCAGTTCATGTCATTTGAATGAGATTGCACCTGGCTATACCGGAACACCAATATGTTTAGGCTGCATGCTTATGCACGCAACCAGCTTTACTTGGAAAACCGAGAAAAGGAAGGAAGCATCCTTGAGGGTCAGTCTACACACAAAAGACAACCGTGAACAGAAATGTTGACTCCCTAGGGCTCTTCAAACGGAAGTGTATTGTATCGTCCATTGTCCACGACCGATTGTTTGATGATGTAGGTTATCTAATAGTGATGATAGTCTCCAAAAAATCTATGGTAAAGTCAGCCTATCATACTGAGCCAATTAATTGGTCATGAATTAGTATAAGTTTTTTTATTCACCTTTGTTTATTCGGCTTTGCTTGTTGTTTTTCGATTATCCATTTGGTTGACATATAGAGGTGTAGATGGAAGGAGTAGAAATCAGTGAGCAGTATCTGGGTAAATATATGCACTACAGGTAAAGTGAAGGTGCTCAAAATGTGAGATGAACGAATGCCATTGTTTATGACATTCAGCGTCTCTAACCCTGCATTAGACAGCCCGCGTTTCCCAAACAAGAAACCTAACGCAACCTATATGACCGAGTCTTTGGGAGGGCACGGTTTCCAGATTTTATGTCACCTTTCAGTAGACCCACCCTTTGCTTTAATCCAACCAATACCTGTATCGCTAAAGGTGCCTCAGGTCGGCAAATATCCATTGAGCCTTTCGTATGCATGCGAACACTTCACTTAAGATCATCTCGTAAGATTAAATTTAGTCGTCCAAAAAGATAAAGCTGTATGGTTTCATTATGCTTTCCCAGTTGCAGTGAGTTTGGGAACTGGAACAACCTAATCCGTTCAAAACAAATTACTCTTTGGATGTACTAAACGAAGGCCAAACACAGCTAAACAGGCACTTAAATAATAAGGAAAAGCTCGCAGTCCACCTGGATCTTCACTTAGCAGTTGAGAGAGTGATAGGACGACATGTCTTAGTGCAATGGTTGAGCGTTATCACAAGTCTTTTTTAATCAAATTTGGTGCAAAATTCATCGTGTCTATCAGTACGCTTATATAGGCCAATTCCTTAAATGAAATGACAAGACTACGCCGTAGAATTTTAAAATCTTATTTTAGAAGTAGGGCGAATGCTACAGGACAACAAGTAGGTTTGGCAGGACACACTAGCGTAGGTACGCAGAGACGGCAGATTTTGGGGAGCTTATAAATACTAAATGATAGTCGCCGTGGTTTACCCCTGTATAACTGAAGGTGGGAAGTTCACTGATGCGTTAGTGGAATTCCCGAGTGTTTGATGAAGCCAACTCAGAATAGATGGAGTTATTGATGGTTCTGTTGTCACCGGAAAAGTGTGATCATAAAGGCGTAACGATACACTCTGAACACTTGTATCGATTTCATTTAAGTCAAACGAGACGAAAAGGGCTCAATGTTGGACACATTATCCCGAAATTCATTGAGATCAGCAGTACTGCAAACAGACTGGCACAAACTAAGGTGCTAGGAAGGTCACTGATGTTAGCTGAAAATGTGAGAAACAACTGCACTTTGGAGCACTCCAGAGTGGTTAACAAGAGATTTAGAAGAAAATTGCGTGAATGGAAATTTATTTGTTTGTGTTGCACAAACCATTTATTAGAAGATTGTGAATATGTCAATCAGTAATTGATAGCGTTCACCAAAAGAACCTGGGGGGCCTTGAGTGGGAGCGAAAAAGTTTTCGATGGTTGATAATCGCTGTCTCTAACTGGGTATGCCTCAGCCCCACGATGAACCCCTGTTTACTCATGATAACCGACAACCTAGGCCCAGGGACACGGAGTTGCGAACCGTAAGAAGTGTAGATGAGAAATGCGTGGTGCTGAGCAGGACGGTTGCGAAGCTGCCTACCACCGAAGTTGGATGGACTTATTAGAGTTTGAACGTTGGCTACCACGGCCCAG